TCTACTGAATGGGGTGGAGGAACAGCCCCCGTATGGGTCTGAGGATGTATCCTACTGCGTCTCACTGATAATTACCCAGGACTTTTATAAGTAAACACAGTCTGTTGTTGGAATCCAATGGAAACAATATAATTCTATCAAAACAAATAAATGAGTACATAATGTCACATTTTATTTAAGGCTTTCACAGTGATCCTAAGGCCAATCTAAGGCTCTAAAATAGAAAAACCAACTCTAGCACAGTTTGTCTAATACACTTACTGTAAAAGCCTGGGCTATATTTTAATACAGTTTGTTTAATACACTTACAGAAGAAGTCTGGGCTATAGTATTCCCAACATAAGCTGTGATAGCTCTTCTATAGAGGCCTTTGGAAAACCTTTAAAAATTGTTTTCCTTGATTGTGCCTAATATCAGAAAGGAAAACAGTCATTTCATATTTCTGTTCCTCATATCCACCCTCTTAGGTCTTGCTGGAACAGGGTCCCATTGCTGCCCTATTTGAAGACTTAGTCCAGATGATTCCCTTGCATAACCTCCTCAAGAGGCCTCATTAATAAGCTATACATGTAGCAATCACCTCTCCAGAATTTCAGCTTCATAGCCACTCGGGAGACTCCTTGACTTCTCTACCCTTTCTCCTCTCTCTAGGAGAAGCTGGGCTGTCCAATGTCCTTGGACTTTCAAGTGTTTTCTAAAGTGTTTTCCATAGTGTAAAGAAAACTGGGAATTCAAACGCTGGCTGAGGTAGGGATGTCAGGACTTGCTAATGTGACATCTTACCCACACGCAGAATCCTCAGCACTGGGATTTAAGAAATCCACACATTTCCTTTCTGTTGTGTCCTTGAAATGCCAAACATATTTTAGTTTATCCCAGGGATCACTTGTTCCATTCTTGGGCCTAGAACTTATAAGTTCCAATTACATTTTTGTAATTACATTTTCTGCTTCTTTGGGGTAAAGCAAGTTCTGACATAGGAGAACATCAATAAATTTCTTAATAGCCATGTGCATGACAGTTAATGTCTGTCTTAAAATTACATTATATTGACCTCATTGACCAGTTGTTTCAGGTTTACAATAAAGAACTTTTTTTTTCACAGAACATAACACAATAGTGAATGGGTACCAGAAAGAAAATATTTACCCTAAGTTCCCAGACCATGTTATTCCTGTACAGTTGGAAACACATTAAGGGGAGCACGTTAAATGCTTGGGGTTGGGGGAAACTTCCCAGAGGAAACAGGGTTTAAGCTGAAACTGGAACAATTGGAATGGTATGAATATGGTAGAACAGAGAGAAAAATGTGCACAGGCCAAAAGCAAGAATACATATGACAAATTTAAAAAATTGGTATACAAAAGAAAAACATGTGGGAAGACTTGACACAAAATGAATCTATGGAAGCAGAGTCACATCAGGTATAAATCATGTAAGTAATTGGACTTCATCCTAAGAGCAATGACTGTGAAGTAAGGGGGACAGGGTCACCATCAAACAATCGTTACAAATTTGCTATGGCTACAGGATGAGGAACACATTGGAAAGGCTGAAGAGTGAGTGAGGAGAGTGTATCATACAATCATAATAATCAGGTGAGAAACTGTGTGGATGTGGATGTGATGAGGTATTCTTAGCAGGGTTAGATAGAATTGGATGAGATTTCTATGATTCAGAAGAGGTGTTTGCAATTTGAGGAGAGGTAATAGTGAAAAATGATATCTGCATTTGTGATTTTACCTGAGTGGAGGGCAGTTCCATTTATTCAAATGGAGATCTCAGAGAGAGAAAGACTCTGTTAAGCAATCAAGGATTATTTGTTGTTTGTCTCTTTTGCAGTAAACATTGTTTTGCACTCTCGATTTGGAAACAGAATAAAGAGAACACGTTCAATTTAGGACATTCTGTGTTTGTGAGTAATTAAGTAGAAAAGTCTCTAGGCAAGTCATGCATGTGTGCCTTGAGTTTAGAAAACAATCCACGGGGCAGAAGAGATTTGAGAAAGATCAGTAATCAGATTAAATTTGCTTAGATTGGAAACTTTGTTTCAAAGTACTAGACTTGGCTGTTAAGAGCTTGGGCTCTAGACCCAGTCTGCCCAAGTGTGAGCTCTAACTCTACTTCTCACGGGCCCAGTATGTTTATTTTTATTTTTTTTATTTGCTATTTCTTTTTTTTTTGCATTTTTATTTTTTATTTTTTTAATTTTATTATTGATTATGCTGTTACAGTTGTTCTATTCCCCCTTTATTCCCCTCCACCCTACCCCTCATCCCCACCATTACCCCCCCTTTAGTTTATGACCATGTGTCTCAAGTCCTTTAGATTCTATGCTACTTATTTTCTGTACCTTCTCCCCCCTTCTCCTCCTCCCACTCCCTTGTTGCTAACCCTCCTTGAGATCTTCATTTCTGTGTTTCCACTCCTGATCTAGCTGTCCTTTTAGTTTGCTTTCGTTTTAGGTGTGGTTGTTAATAACTGTGAGTTTGTTGTCCTTTCACTGTTCATGTTTCTTTAACTTCTTTTTCTTAGATAAATACTCACTAATTACTGCAGCTTCCTCATCTCTAAAATTGAGATGATAGAAGTTGCTGAAAGCATTATTGCTAGGATTAAATAAATACTACTAAGAATGATGATAAAGATTATATTAATTAATTTATGCAATTGTTGGCACAATGCCTGGGAACTGTTAAGGGCCTAATTGGGGGCAATTTTGCTGCCTCGTTATGTTTTCTTAAAAAAATATAGAAGGAGGAAATGCCTAAGACAGATTTGAAACAAGCAAAAAGAAAAGACGTTGACATGATAGTCTCTAAAGAACTGAATAATAACATATTACCATTACTTAATGGTAAATGAAGACAAGGAGGAATCAGAAATAAAAGCTTCAGTGGGCTAGAGTCCCTGGTGTTGTGGGAGAATTCTGTAGTGGGCGTAACTGAGAGAAAAAGCCAGAAGGAATACAATAATTTTCAAAGACTATTTAAAATATCTAGTGATTTTATTCTGTCTTTATTTTTCAATTACAGATTAAATTCATTATTATTTTGTTTTAGTTTCAGGTGTACATCATAATATTATTCTTATTAGCTTCTATTTCATCACATAAAAGGATCATCATATATTTAATAATTTTCTACTGGCTGAAATTCTTCCCTCCTGATTGTTGTGGCAGTTCAATTTTTTGGAAAATTTGTCTTTGCTGATATTAATAGTCATAGTAAAATATAATTAATAGAACATATGAGTGCCAGTAGTAATATGTATTTTCTCAACTTCTCAGAGAAAGATTCTTACCATGTACATTTTATTATTCTGGATTGATAGATGAGATAACTGAGGCTCAGAAATTAAATGACTTGTTCAAGATCACAAAAGTGACAGAAGTGTTATATTCAAAGGCCACAATCTTTCTGCCACATGATGCCATTTTGTTTTACAAATTTTCTTTATTTCCTAAGTATAATTTTACACAAGGAAATTTACTCTATCCAAAGGTATAAAAATTATTACAATTTTAATCCTTTTTAAGTGCGATTGCATGCTTTTTTATATCTACTGTAAACTATTGCTTTTATCTCAGGATATTTGGGGTAAAAATACATTTGAAAGAATATAATTTTATAGGTAATATAATAATTAGAACTGATTCCATTTCTCAAATTATCTTTTTACATTTCTTAGATAATTGTTTACATATTTTTGTAATAACAAAATAAAGACCTTGCTGTTACATCTTTATAAAACAGTTTATAAATATAGAATTACCTTGTCTATTTCATGGTTTGTCTTTTAATCCTTTCCAGATACCACTCAATTAGATACAAGTGTTACATTAGACTTAATCATCTTGCGTGACAAATTTTTAAGTGTATATTTTCTCTTGATTTTAAGCTCTTCTATACAGTCTTCTTTTAATATTTCTCAAAATGACTGGATTAAACATGTCAATTGATCTACTCACTGTTCTCTCTCATCAAATCAGTAGGAAACTTAAAATGAGAAAAACAAGGGTGAATGAACAACAATATTAGACAACAATGGAAAGGATCCAAGTCAATAGTTTTCAAAAAATTTCTTGTAAATAAGTATTTTCAATGGAGAAATAAAATTTTTACAAGGTAATCTTTTGGTTATAGAATATAAAAAAATCACCCCAGGGATCTGGGTAACATATAGACAAATACATCTTCTTAAATTTAAAAAAAAAGTCATGGGCTAATTTTATTTATTTATTTATTTTTATCCTCCAAGACTTGTTTTTAGAGAGAGAAGAAGAGAGAGGAAGGGAGAAAGAGAAACATCGATGTTTCAGTGCAAGACAGAAGCATCGATTGGTTGCCTCCCAAATGTGCCGTAAGTAGGAATTAAACCTGCAACCTTTTGGTTATTGGATGACACTCCTACCAACTGAGCCACACCAGCCAGACTGGACTGATTTTTGATTGAATATATTGATATTTCATTTGTCAACACATTTTTTATAATTTTGCTTAGAGTGAAAAATTTTCCCTGGCCCTCCTTACCTCTTTATGAACTAATAAAACACAGCTTTTCTTCATGTATGGCTGATGTACAGATTCTGGTCATGTGGACTTCTACAAGGAATAAAATGCATGACAGGCTCTAAGTTACCTCTCCTTAAATACCTTATGTATTTCAAAACTATAAAATTATACTATTTCCTAAAGGCAATTTATTACCAAACCCTCATTACATGGGAAAAAATGTTGCCTCTGCAAACATATTATTATAATGCTTTATCACTTGTATCACTTTTTTATTAAGCATATGTAGAGGTTATGACTTGCAGAACACAAAACAAAACTTCAGGTGTGCAAGATGTGGAACTTTATTATAGGTGATTTGGAGTCTTCATCTCATTAGTTGGAAGACATTAGATATTATCAACTCAAAGTCTTCTCACTAATCCTTGGGAGGCATCTAATCACACTGGCATCTCATGGCAGCAGGACCTCTCTTCGTCTGAATACCTTACTCTCTTCTATTTTTGATCCACTCTAATGTCCTGCAGTAGCAGGGGTTGTTGCCTAAAACACTTCATCACCTCTGATATACTGAAAGCACAGAGGTAATATTTACACTGTTTTCCACACAGTGCTTGAAACTCTCTCAAGTGATTTCATTCTCATTTCTTTGTATAGACTCTGTAATAACTTAAAGTATCATTGGTAACCATTAAGTTAAGTGATTCTGCCAGAGTAGAAAATGATAGAAAGAAACAAATCAATCTCCCAATCTTTTCCGGTGCAAAAAAACTAAGATAAGTGTCATTGGTGATGTGATGAGGCAAGGGGCTAAATCAGAGCAATAGCCCTGCATCTTTTCCATAATGGGAACACCAGAGCTTTTCATTCTAAGACACATTGGCACCATATAGGTAATTCTACCAAGAAAATCATCTTTCAATGGGGAGAACCTCCTGAGTAAAGAGATCAAGGTAAAGTTCTATGGAAAGAGAGAAGGCGATTGATACCATTCTGGATCTGCTTGGTCTTAATACTATAGATTATTGGATTCATGAATGGAGGAAAGAGAAAGTAGACGTAGCTCATGATAATATGCACTACATGTGGCACGTATTTTCCAAAGCGATGAATGAGGGTTAGCCCAGTCACAGTGACATAAAAAACCAGAACACAGCTAATATGGGAAACACAAGTGTTTAGAGCCTTTGCCTGCTCCTTATGGGATGCAATTCCCATAACAGTCTTAAGGATTAGGATATAAGAGATAAGGATAAGCATGGAGTCCAAGAAGCCAGTTAATGAGACCAGGGCTATAGGATAGAGTCTGTTGAAGGTAATGTCAGCACAGGCTAGTTTGATCACATCTTGGTGCAAGCAGAAGGCATGGGAGAGGACATGGGATCTGCAGTAGGGGAATCTGGAGAGGGTGATAATTATGGGCACAATAAGTATAAATCCTCTCATTAGAACCCCCAGACCTATCTTCACCACCTTAGCATTGGTAAGAATGGAGGTGTATCTTAGGGGATTGCAGATGGCAATGAAACGATCATAGGCCATGATAAGCAAGACTCCAGACTCCACGATTGATAGTGAATGAATCAGATAGGCCTGGAAGTAGCAGGCTCCATGGCTGATCTCCCTGTGATCCAGCCACAGAACACCAAGCACGGTGGGCATTGTTGTCAAAGTCACACCAAGGTCTGTGGCTCCCAGGAGAGCCAGAAAGTAGTACATAGGCTCATGAAGAGTGTGGTCTTCTCTGATAAGAAAGAGGAGGGTGCCATTGCCAAGGAGTATGGAGATATAGATCACAAAGAATGCAATAGAAATCCAAGGATGAAATATCTCCAGACCTGGGAAGCCAGTCAGTAGAAAAGGGCCAGCACTGATATTGGACCACATGGTGGACTCCTGTGTTGAAACAAACAAACAAAAAAATAAGGTCTTTCTACATTAGACTTGTCCAGTAGAAATACAATTTAAGCCACACATATGATTTCACATGTTCTACTAGTTACATTTAACAAAGGTAAAAAAGAAAGAGTGGCAAATAATTTTAATAATGTGTTTTATTTAATCTGCTAATATCCAAAATATTATCATTTCAAGTGCAATCAGTATAAACTCATGAATGATATACTTTATACTTTATGTGACTAATGTTTTAAAATCCAAAATTTACTGGATAATATACCTCTAGACTATAAAATTATTTTTGCCACATCATTTAAAAAATAAGAAGTCCCAGACTTTGTATAGAATTATGCTCAGCTTGTAACCCTTGATAAATTTCTCATCCAAGTTCTCTAACTCCAATATTTCCTAATCCCTCATTACCTGGGCCAGAATCCTCTGCTAATGCTTAACCAAACGTCTGACCAGATCTCAACTGAAATCCAAAGTCCTAGTTCTAGCTCTGCCTTCTAGTTTCTTCTCATCTTCATTGTAAACATGTTTCACTTTCATTTTGAATTCACCATTCATATTAAGTGTTCACTTATTTAAAATAAACAGAAGTTGGCAATGCCTACAAAAATGAGCATTAAAGGCACAAATTTCATGATCTCTTGAGGAACAAAACATAAGGTTTCCCTGGTTTGTGACATCTTTGTTTGAATTGAATGTCACATTACTATACTCTGTGTGGATAAATTATTATGCAATTCCACAGGACTACCTCTCAGAGTCCCTTCTAGTATTGTCTGACTTCATGAGATTTTTATATTACTAAACTTTATGGAATTTACAAGTTTCTGCTTCAGGGAATATTGCCTTTGGCTTCAGACTACAGAATTGGGAAACTTGAAAGTGACTTTTTTCATTTTCTTTTAAAATTAGATTTATAGTGACATGTATAAAGGATCCACAGATGTGGACAATGGGGTAGAGATTGACTGTGGGAGTTGGGGTGGAGCAAGAGAGAGAAGTTGAGGGGGAATTGGGACAACTGTAACTGAACAACAATTAAAAGAAAAAATGAATGTATTAGGGTGACGATTGTTCACAAAACCACACAGGTTTTAAGTGTACAACTCAACAAAATACCATCTGCACACCATGTCATGTGTCTATGGCCACAAGTGAAATCTCTTTCCATCCCGATTTTCCTTTCCTTTACCCACCACCCTCACCCCCCCATTCCCACTGACTATTACCACTCTATGTCTTTGCTTAATTCCTTCACCTTCTTTTATCCGGTTCCCCAACCCATCCTCTCTGACAAATGTCAGTCTGCTCCTGGTGTCCATACTTTTGTTTCTATTTTGTTCATCAGTATATTTTGTTCTTTCGATTCCACATATAAGTAAGATCATATGGTACTTGTCTTTCTCTGACTTTCTTATTTCACTTAGCGTAACACGCTCCAGGTCAATCCAGGCTGTCGCAAAAAGTAAGAGTTCCTTTTTATGGCCAAGTAGTATTCCACTGTGTAAATGTACCACAGCTTGTTTCTCCCCTCATTGGAACTTAGGCTGTTTCCAGATCTTGACTATTGTTAATAACACTGTAATGACTGACTCTTATTTCAGTTACTAAAATTTAACTAAAAACAATCAGATTTGCCTCTATTACTCAGTCAACTGTTATTTCTTGCTTATTAAGATCTCATAGTTTTGTGCTACATACAGGGCATATACTGGTAAAAAAGCAGACATTGACACACTTATTAGAAAGGTAAAAAATCCCATAGATTTACAGTAACAAATACAGGTGAGAATGTGGAGCAACAGGAACTCACACATTGCTGGTGGGAACACAAAAGGATACAGTCACTTTGGAAGAGAGTTTAGCAGCTTCATACAAAACTAAACATTCCCTTACATACAATGTAACAATTGCATTTCTTGGTATTTACACAAACGAGTTGAAAATTTACATCTACGCATGTCAAAACCTGGAAGCAAACAAAATGTCCTTCATTAGATGAGCAGATGAATGAACTGTGGTACATCAGCCCTGGCTAGTGTGGCCCAGTGTTTGAGTGCTGGCCTATGAATCAAAGGGTTTCTGGTTTAATTCCTGATCTAGGGCATGTATCTGGGTTGTAGGCCAGGTCTCCAGCAGGAGGTGCACGAAAACAAAGCACACATTGATGTTTTTCTCCCCCTCTTTCTCTCTCCCTACCTCTCTCTAAAAAATAAATAAGTAAAATCTTTAAAAATATAAAAATATTGGAGTATTATCCAGCACTAAAAAGAAATAAACTATCAAGCCATGAAAAGGCATGAAGTAAACTTATGTGCACCTAACCCAGTGAAAGAAGCCAATGTGAAAAGACTCCATGTGGTATGATTCTAATTCTATTACATTCTAGAAAAGGCAGGGACCTGAGACTTATTGCTACCAGAAACCGAGTTCTGCCAACAATATGAATGACTCAGGAAATGGATTCTTCTCTAGACCCTTCATATAAGAGCCCAGAACAACCATTGCTTTCATTTGGGGCATAAACAGAGGGCTTAAAAGGAGAACCCAGTCAAGCTGACTAAGCTTCTGACCAACAGAGCTGTGCTATTACAAACAAGTGTTGATTTAAACAGCACAGCTTTTGGTTATTTATTACACAGTAAAAGAAAAGTATGGCAGTAGGGATTGCTATTATTCACATCTTACTACTAATAATACACTGATACTTAGATAGTTTATGTGAGTTAGTTACTATGTCATTAGCTATCGCCACAAAATTTCCACATGGAAAAACCAATAGGGCTTCAATGGCTACAACAATACAAACTTGTTTTTCATTCATATCCATGGTTCAGCTAATTTTGGGTGACTTTGGCTGGGTATCTCTGATTATTTCTGCCTCTTTTGATCATGCACCGAAGTTTCAGATGTATGTCATCTCCATCCTTTCATTCTCCTACTCCCTCCTTTTTATATCCATTACACTTTTACTGGATTTATTACAACCTTATCCTTCACTTTACCTTCTCCCCTTAAGTCCCAGATGTATTTCCTGTATCACCCAGGTCTGAACACAGAACTCCACACAAAATGTTTTGTCTTTCATATTTCTTTTACCAGTTTCTCAATTAACTCATTCGAATTGAAACATGCATGTACTCTGACTCCAGCACTAGCATTGTATATCTTCCCAACTGCTGCATTGAACAGTAATTCTCCTGGAAGAAATGACAGATTTTGACATACAGACCCTTTATAAATTTAAATTGCATTATTATTAATACGCCGATGCACTGCCTGGCTGGTATGCTAATGGTTAAAATGATTTATGTAACAGCATTGACCCTGCAAAGAATACTAATTGCAATACATAATTGTCTGATATGTAAGCTGTCTGATCCATACACTGTCTTTTCATACAATGTCCAGTTAAGAGTCACCAATAACTCACCAAATACCTATACACGTGCTACCATCAGGCCCTCTAGACTCCAATTTTCCCCATCTGTGGATGTGATTGATCAATCAGTCCTGACTTTGTCTTACCCACTGGAGTCCTTACCGAATGATCAGTTCCAAGCTTTTAAGGAAGAGCACCTCTTAAGGATAGGCATTGGGGAAAGAACATACAAACACAGTTTTGTCCTATAACTGAGAAATAGTGAAACCACTCAAGCCAACAGGCACAAAGGAGAGGAAAGAGATAGCAGTAATATCACACAGAAAGGTATGAGAGAAAGAATACTGAACACAAAGAACAGCACCTAGAGGAAGGAAAAATGTAATGTAGAGTTTTACAGGAATCACGATGACCCCGCCTGCACACTCACTCCCAACATCAGTCTCTCTCCCCTTCCTGCCTCTGAAAAATAACTATCTCATAGGAAAAATATTCTGGTTAGCTCTGGGCTAACCAGAAAGTTTGCTAGCAGCCTGGTTCTCTTGATTTTTCAAGTAACCACTCATGACCAATGTCCCTTGCAAAAAGAAAGAAGAAAAAAAACATCTTTTATCTCTGAGAATTAGTATTTTCTAGGAAGTCAAATTTTTACATTGCTATTTGTTACACTGGACAGAACCCATAGAGACAAATAGCTTTCTTCACTTTTCTATTTATCTTCTTGCAACATCAGCATGGAGGCAGAGGAGTCCAAGGAGAGCAGTCACCTTTATCTTCCTTTCTATTATCTACATTCCATTCTCCCATGGTAACCAGACACTTACCTGGGGCACCAGGAATTAAGGGAAGAAACTGCTGGATCTTATTGTAGAACGTGGCATGAATGTTACTTATGAAGACTGATAACATTATTAGTTGTGAAGTTACCTGTCTAGAAAAATGGTTCTCCAGGGTCCTAATGGCTGTAGATAATTAGGCTTCTGGGATTTCTTTTCCTGGCCTCTTTGGGGGAGGGAGGTGAGTCCCCCAGAGCTGTGTCCTGTAGCCCCGCAGTTTCAATGCAGACAGAAAACAGAACTGTAGCTTTATCTAAGAGGTGAAATTCATGCTGAAAATCATCTCTGTCCTTTTGAATTTCCATCTCAAAAGAGAAGACATCATCAAAAGTACATTTGACTTCGTTATTCCTGAATCCTGGAGCAAGTAATCTCACTAAACTTAGATGAAGCTTGATCATTTCCTGACACCTTACCTTGGTTTCAAATGAGAGCATTTGTTACAGTATTTAATATACATATTCTTGAAGTGATTTTTTTACACAAATGAGTGCAATTGCTAATAAATTCAAACGGTGAGCTTTTCATGTCTCCATCATTTTCACCCAGAGGTCATAGTTCTTGCTGCTAGAACAATTCAACTCAAGTAAAAAAATCTTTCACTTTAACCATCTTAGAGTAAGATGAAGTCATAGATATTGATTCTCACCACCCTTGCCTTTCTCTAACAATGTGTCATTGAGCAGAAAGGGTATATATACATATTTTGGCAGAGACACAGATCTCAGGGACTCTATTGTCTTGTCTGGGTTTTGTCTCCTAAATTT